CTGTAGACCCTCCGTTTCCAGCGTTTCATCTTCGTCGATGTCGAACCCCTTCCATACGTCCTCTACAACCTTGACCCATTCCGTGGGTTGTGTACCCCTCTTTGTGTTTTGCCCACTTTCCTCCCATACAATCCTCGGCAACCTCTCCTCTCCCATCCCGCACATGCGATACTGCCAGGTCAGCTTCCTCGCGTCTCTTCCCGACCGTAGGGATTGGATCCCCAATTCTGCCCTGACGGCTGCATTACTTGGGCGCTTGGAGCATCCTAGGATGATTTTCACTGCTTTCATCTGCGCCGCCTCGAGTTCTTTCACTACCTTGTACTTCCTTCCCATACTCCTCCGGCGTACTCTAGCGGCGGTACGATTACGCTCTTCGAAACCGTCAATTTGATGCATGTATCGAGGTGCCGGTTTACGAGTATTGGGTGCAGCTTCCCCGTTCGTGCTTTGCCCTTTTTCCCGCTACCTTGGACATGTGTGCATTTCACGAGCAGTCTTTTGCGATCTCTACTCCGATGTTTGTGTACTGGTCCACTACTGCAATCTCCTCGAACTCCCACTTTCGTCTATGTTCTACTGGTTCCTCTTTGTTCTCGTTGCATACCATGACGGCACTCTTCTTAACGTTGGCAGACAATCTCCACTTATCAGTAAACTTCTTCGCCGCGTCATTTTGCAGTTGCAGTCCCTCAGGGGTGTCTGACGTACCGACAAATCATCCGCAAACAGCATTCCTGAAACTGACGTTTCCGTGTCCCCTACTTTTACTCCCTTCCTGACTGTCCCTACGACGTCCGACAGATCGTTGATGAACACCTGAAACAATGTTGAGGACAGCGTGCAACCTTGTGGGACCCCCTGCTCAATTTCGAAGAATTTAGACAGTTCTTCCTCAAGCATGACCGCGCTTTTCGTACACTCTGTCATCTAGCGGGGTGGGGGGTAGAAAATGGAAGGCGGGGTGCAGAAACTTAAACTAAGAAGCTCCTCAGGCACACACGCGTGATTGGTTGCTCAAGGCTAACATCACGCCACGGCCAGCAAACACGAAACGTGCGCGAGCCTCAACGAAACCAAGGGGTATTGCGAAACGTTCGGACGCGCTCCGTTCTCTTCTTGGTGCTAACCAGAGCCAAGTCTTGTCGCCAGCCTTCGTTGCCCTCCACGTCAGTACAAGTGAGGCTAGCTATTCCCGACTCCAAACCGCCACACATCTGCAACCACGCACACCCCTGCCCTAAAAGCTAACGCTGCCCACATGCGCGACTACATGTGCCACATCCCCCCTGACGCACACACCTCCAAGGTTTCCCAGTCGGCCTGGCGTTGCGTTGCCCATGAGCTCGCCACCGTGGTAGGCGGGCGCATGAACGCCCGCGCTCCCATACCCCGCCAATTCCTACCGTGGCTACTCCCCGGGGCCACCGGATCGTCCTCCATCCCCTCCGCCACTCCACCGCCATCTGCGGCGGAACTCCGCCGGCCACTCCCCCAGTCTGTATTCCCCGTCGCCCCCGCGCTACTCCTGGTGGCCTTGAGCATGGCGAGCACCACCGGCGGGAGAGGGCTCGCGAGGACCTCGGACACCACCGTGGCGACTAGTCGGAGCTGAAGGCTGTTGAGGGCGGCCTTATTTTTTCGTCATACATATAGTTGGCGTCGGGGGGAGGCGGAATGTAGTGCTCAGCTGAGAATCCCCACACTACCGCTGTAAGGTCTGACACAAAGCTACCAACAATATACGAATTGTGGCTGCTGTGCGAATGACGGAAGAGAAAAAAGAATCTGCTCCCGGAAGAAACCCAAAAATTAAGCCAGCTCTCGGCCCTACTTGAACAGTAATCAATGGACGCCGTTCGAAGGAATGCGGCGGGACACAACATGCGGACACATTTCATGCGCCCAAAATAAAGCATTCGTCTGTGCGGGTATGTTCGTTGCGAACAACGAATGCGCAGGAGAAAAAAAGCAGTGCCGGGAATATCGCTTCCGTAACACCTGCAAAACCAATCCGCACCACACGTCCAGCCTGCATCCCCCCCGGAAACCATCTTGGCGAAAACTTCATCCAGCTTCACCCCTTTTCAAACAGCAATGTTTGCAAAGGCAGGCATAGTTGCCGAAGGCAGACAGGGAGGAAGAGTTCATGTAGATAATGTACTCCATTCAGTTTGACGCAACAAACGACTGACGTGCCCTGCAGTTATTACCTGTATGACGGGGAGGTCCACCTTGATCACGTTGTTTTCGACAGCGCCATGGTGTGCGAGAACCTACAAAAAACAGGCAAAACAGGCAACGAAAATTGCCCACATCGACAACAGCCTCAGGTCGCCAAAACAAAGAAAACGAACGTCCCGGCAAAGCGCGAGCCCGCTAGTAAGACATGCATGACGAAGAAAGGATACTGAACACTATGCTAACTGATCATCTTCGACCAGGTTTTCACAAAAGGAAGTAATTGCGATCCGGACCGTCTCAGCCAAGATTTTCCTGTCCAAAGGCGAAGCAGAGGGGGGGGGAGGGGGGTACTCATAGTTGTGCATGCCGTAGTCGTTAGACCATTGACCTCGCATCCCTACAAAGCCGGGAAGGAGCACGCCGGGTTCTCACAGGACCAGGCTCTCAAATCACCAAGCGTGAAGCGCCGTGAGATATTCGGCGAGTCGCAT